AAAAACATGGAAAATACCAGCGATTCGGGCAGTAGCAATGCAAAACGATAGAAATTTAGAATTCTAGGCGTTTTATTGATTCATTTACCACTCCTGTGGCCATACCCACAGTATTTACAGTGCTTTGGTGCGCGGGTACTGTCTGGAGCACTGTTGGAGCACTGTCCGGGCACTGTGGAGCACTGTGTTGCCATGTAGTCCTCCACAAGTTTGTTGGCCCGCCGCTGTTTGCTTGGCGCAACCCTGTGTCGGGTACTGTTGATGGACAAAATCCTGCACCACCTCACCACTTTACCCTGGAAGGGTCGCATAGCAACCCCCGTGCCCCCTCATTCAATGTTGGCGAGACCCCTCTGAGGAGGTGGTGCAGGATTTTGGACCTTCAACTTGTTTTTGTTTTCTCACTGTGGTGGCCACAATGTTAACGAGGGAGAACGAGGGCAGCAAGAAAAGTGTGCGCAAAGTGGTGCAGGATTTTGTCCATCAACAGTAGCTGTAGCTAGCTGGAGTCTGTCTTGCTTTAGCCAGGAGGGTGGGAGCCGAGGACCTGTGCAGATACCTGATATATCAGGCTTTAACCCCCCCCCCGCGGGTTCAACTCCACCCTTCTCCTCAGTACCTGCTGCGGCTTGGTCTCTTGCTGCTTGCATGCTTGGTGCTGCTGATTGCCTTTGGCTGCTTGCTGCTTGCTGCTGACGTGTTGGGGCATGAGCGAAGAGTTCGGTGTGGGAAGCGGGTGATGAAGAGTTTGGTGATGTTTGGTGGAAGCATGGCAGTAGTTGAGTTTTCCCTTTGTGCATCTTATATTAACTATACTATTGTCACGCTGCCCCAACTCGTGTCATGGTACGGTTGATGCCATTCATGCGGTTCAGGGTTGCTGCACTTGTTGCAACGCAACACTGCTGCTGCTGCCTTTGCTGCTGCTGCTGCTGCCTTTGCTGCTGCTGCTGCTGCTGCCTTTGCTGCTGCTGCTTTGCTGCTGCTGCTTTGCTGCTGCTGCTGCCTTTGCTGCTGCTGCCTTTGCTGCTGCTGCTTTGCTGCTGCTGCTTTGCTGCTGCTGCTTGGCTGCTGCTGCTTGGCTGCTGCTGCTGCTTTGCTGCTGCTTTGCTGCTGCTTTGCTGCTGCTGCTGCTGCTGGTGCTGCTGCTTTGCTGCTGCTGCTGCTGCTGCTTGGCTGCTTTGGCTGCTTTGGCTGCTGCTGCTGCTGCTTGGCTGCTGCTGCTGCTGCTGCTGCTGCTGCTGCTGCTGCTTGCTGCTGCTTGGTAGCTGCTGCTGATGCTGCTGCTGCTTGGTAGCTGATGCTGCTGCTGCTTGGTAGCTGCTGCTGCTGCTACTGCGGCTGCTGCTTGGTAGCTGATGCTGCTGTT